AACAAGAACAGAGCTCGAGTAGAGAGCTTTATTCACGTGAGCCACGTGCTGAGAAGTCGTGAAATCGAAAGTAATTTGAAGGCTATCTCAAGTCAAGTTTGACCTTGACTTGATAAAAGCGTAACAAAACAAATGTTAATAAATTAATGTAAATAAAATCAGAAACCAATCTTGGGGAATCGTGGATCCCCAACAAAAACAAACTCAACCATTTGCATGTAGGCCAACATGCTCTCAGAATGTGAGTAAAGCAACCTGTTGAATGAATTGCCTCATACGTACAACGTTTAATAAAACATGCCTACTCATGTGTAACTCGTGTAGCAGACAGGAAACGAGCCAGTATGTGGCAGGGGGGTGGTTGAGTGGGAGGGGCGCTGAAGTGAGTTCCAACGTTGTCGTGACCGACGTGGTACTTATGGCTGGTCCTGAAGGTCAAAGGTGGGTTAGGGGGGTGCAGCATTAATGACGACGAAAGGGGACCGCATAGTGTGTGTATTTTAAGGGGATCCTGATTGCTTCACTAGACTACATCTACGACTAACATTTTTTTCAAAAATTTGGGTTGACACATTTTTAATGGGTGTTTTTTTGTGTTGTGGCCCACAAGTCACATTTTCACATTCTTTCTTCCGCATTTTAGGCCTATGAGGAGAAAATGAACGAGATCGAGATCAAATATTCGAGTTTGGTGGAACAGGCCAAGTACAAGCGTGCTGTTGGTAATAACCACGTTGCTTTTGTCCACTTCAAGACGAGAATGTCCCAGAATTAAACTCTAATTTTACGGTGCCGAGGTGGGCAATTCGGCCGAGTGTCTGATGTCTTGTTTTGTGGCTTCATAACTTGTTAGCTGTACATATGGAACCACTGAGCATGAGGCACTTCACATCCGCTTGGTTTGTGATGCAACCTGTCTGCCGCGAGGTAGATATTTCTTAGCCAAGGCAGTTCAAGTCCATTTGATCCACAGTAGCCTTTTCATCTAGGGTTCCCTGTGTCTAAAAGTGCACTGCAGGCTTATTTATGGGCATGCATTTTAGCTGAGGAACAATGCAGACGCCTGTCTGCTCGAGAGCAGAAGCTCGCCGACGAATTGGAAGCCAAACAAGTGCAAATTTTGAGCCTCGAGAGAGACTTAAAAGCCGCCCGTTTGACCGCTGCAGAAACTCAAGCAGTGGTGGAAAACCTACGAAGCCTAGTGGCCATTGAGCGTGAGGAAAAAGAACGACTGTCTGCAATGAAGTCCACCTTGGAATTGGAAGACAACGCTCGCGAGTATTCGGAGCTCAAAGCAGTCGCTTTGGAGCTGAAGTCGCGGCTACTTAAACGCGCCGAGTAAGTTGCTTTAATCGCGTCGCTCACTGCATGTCCCGAATTTGAATTAGCTCAACTTGGCTTCACCTTGGAAATGACTGCTCAAACACGCTGGCGGTCGGTTATGTACCATAATTCATTGGTTCAGGTATGATGCCTACTAAGTTTAAACACCCCAGCAACGTATGTATTGGATTTGGTTACATATAAATGCGTTTTTTTATACGCGAAGGCTTCTAGAAAATTCACTAAGAGAGGCGAGACGGCTGCGTGGAATTGTCTGTGATAACAAGGAGAGTGCCGAAGGATTTGGTGGAGAACTGGAGCGCCAATACCCGCACGTAGGTTGTGGATTCTAGTTGCAGTTGTGATACGTGTGACTTGCGGCTTCTTTTCAAGTCACACTCTTCAAGTTGTAAGTTATTCAAATTCTCTGAAATGTGCACGGCGTTTTTGATTAAGTGGCCGAATAGGAACACCAATTTATGTCACTTCACGATGTCAAGTCAGTGGAGTATTTGGATGGCATGTTGTGGTTGGTTAGACCACAGCAAATCCTTACATTTTGTCTTCGTGTAGGTTTGTGAACCGAATTAGTTGTATACCTTGCTTGTGTACATACATTGTCCTTAGTTCTGACTCACAAGAATCACGATGAAAAATCTTCCAATTGACTCCAGCTCTGTGCAAACACACCACAGTCCTTCCGTGATTAAGACAGAAAACAACTCTCGCAGTGGTGACGACGACGCTGCGCCCTCGTGTACCCAGGCTCTCGGGGCCAAGCTGTGCGCTGCCCCGGCCGCCGCCTCGCTACCGCCCTCGTCCATTTTCTCCCAACGTGACCGTCGGTCCTGCATTCCAAACCAGCCAACATTTGTAACCTTTCCTACCCATTTCGGACAGTTGTCGCCTTAAGATGTGGGCGTGGGTTGTTGTGTTGCGTTTTGACATTTATGATTTAGTCTTGAGTTTGATGGAATTTTGCCGTGGTTGATTTGTCATTTCGACAATAGTTGCAATTTTTAAAGCCTGAAGATATGCTTAGTCAATGGATACTATTCACCTGGCGTTGTTTTTTGATTAATCAAATTGTAAAGGGAAAGAGAGGTGAGGGAGACGAATCAACTTGCAGAATCAGAGTGGAATTGAGAGAAATAATCAGTGCACCTAATGAAATCCACCGGATTTTCGTGATTTTCCAATTACAGTTGCGTCACAGTTCAAATACCGACCACTCAGCTGCAACCGTTGCATCCACGA